GCTCAACAGTTCATTATTGCTGAAGAATCCATGTCGGTTCCCAGTTTCGACTTCTCGGTGAAAGAAAGCAAGGCTGAACCGGATACTAAGAAGAAGAACAAGAAGAACTTTAGGAAAGCACAATTTCGGAACTCCTCTAAAGGATATGAAAATACTCCAGAGTCTCGGGCTGCTCGTGATCAGTATTCAGACAATGTCAGGACAGGTTATCATGTCGTTTATTCCGCCGGAGCAGCCACCATATATGAAGAACTGAAAGGGAAGGGAATTATACCAGACCCGAGGCCTGTGAGAACTCCCGAAGACAAGTTGGATAAAACTCGGTACTGTGCGTACCATAAGTCTCCAGGACACAATACCGATGAGTGTCTCGGTCTTTTGTCGGCACTCTTACGTTTAATCGGGCAACCCCAACTTCAAAAGTTTCGAAATTTTAATAACCGCCGGAAAGGAAGGCCCTTGGATCTTTCAGACGACGAAGATGAGGACAACCGACCTGCTAACCAGAAAAGAGCTCGTGCAAACGATAAGGAAGTTTTTACGTTTTCTACTCATGTCGGAACTTCGACCGACAACCACAAGAAACCTAAGATATATGATCCCGCAGATTTTTCACATTGCATACCTCGAGTCAACTCCAATAACAAACAGTTAGATACGTCTCGACGGAAAGTCAAAGCTTATGCTCGGGAGGCACAGAATGCCGAGAAACGAGTCATGAATGTTGATCTCCGAGATACCATCAACAAACGGAATTGCCCTATTACGTTCAGTATTGAAGACGCTAACTTGTTCGCTCATCCTCATTCTGATGCTCTTATCATAACTGCCCCGATTGGGGGAATTCTTGTTCATCGGATCTTGGTCGACACAGGAGCGTACTCAAGTATCTTAATGCTCCGTACTTTCACGAAATTGGGTTTGGACCCAGCAGACATTAGACCGTGTAACGATCATATTCAAGGTTTCAATGGAAGCATTTCTTGCCCCGTTGGCGAAATATTGCTCCCCATTCGATTTGGTGGCTTTGGACCGAAGTCCAAGATCATTATGTTAACTTTCAACGTCTTGGATGTCCAAAACGAATATAATGCTGTAATAGGACGAACCGCACTTTATAAACTTCGTGCTGCTGTGTCAATTTTTCATTATGCCCTGAAGTTCCCCACCATTGAAGGAGAAGGCACTCATTACGGAGATCAACGAGAAGCCTGAAGTCTGATGTTGCTCTCAACCTCGTGCAGCTTTCATATGATGAAAGAACAAAATGTTGATAACTCCGTTGGGCCAAATAATTCAACTTCTGATGCTGAAAGAACTGATCAGTTCATCCTAGATACCGACATGCCTCAAGCAGATACCGACTTGCCGCTTGTCGATGCCGACGTCCCTATGACGTCGGTCTTGCCTGAAACATCAACTAAAATCCTCGATCAAGAACAACCTTTTCATGAAAGGGACATAGAGGTGCACGAAGATATGGATCCAAGGATACAGTTCAAAGATGGAAGTCATCATGTCCGAGCAGAACCTGTTGAAGATATCGAGATCATTTACGTGGACGGGTCAGATCAGCAGAAAGCGCTGCGTGTTGGGCCAACCTGCAGGAACCCATTCGGTCAAATTTGATTCAGTTCCTCCAGTCAAACACTGATGTGTTCGCTTGGAAGCATGAAGACATGAAAGGGATCGACCCACAGAAAGCATGCCATCGTCTCAATTTGGACAAAAATGTCAAACCTGTTATTCAGAAACGTCGGAAATTCGGCCCAGATCGCCAGAAGGCCCTTGAAGAAGAAGTAAACAAGCTCATATATAATAAATTTGTCAAGGAAGCCAAGTACCCGACGTGGATATCGAATCCTGTTTTGGTTAAGAAAGCCACCGGCCTTTGGCGTCTCTGTATAGATTTTTCAGACTTGAATCAAGCGTGCCCGAAAGATAGCTACCCCATTCCACACATTGATTACATGGTAGACGCTACGTCGGGACATCAACTTATGAGTTTTCTGGATGCCTATTCAGGCTATAATCAGATTCCCATGCATCTTGATGACGCTGAACATACCTCGTTCTATTCAGCTCGAGGCCTTTATTGCTATGTTATGATGACTTTTGGATTGAAGAATGCAGGGGCCACATATCAGAGATTGGTCAATAAGATGTTTGCTCGCTTAATCGGCCATACAATGGAAGTTTATGTAGACGACATGTTAGTGAAGTCGGAACAGGCCTCTGACCATATCGCCCATCTCTCCGAAGTCTTCGATATACTCCGAGAATATTCCATGGTGCTTAACTCCAAGAAGTGTACTTTCGGAGTTGGATCGGGGAAGTTTCTAGGATACATGGTGAGTCAGAGAGGGATCGAAGCCAATCCCGCCAAGATTCAAGCCATACTTGACCTAGCTCCCCCGATATCTCTCAAAGGTGTCCAAGCTTTAACTGGTCGACTGGCAGCCCTTAATCGGTTCATTTCAAAGTCTACAGATCATTGCAAGCAATTCTTTGATGCTATCAAAAAGAAGAAACCGTTTGAATGGACAACAGAATGTCAGAATGCTTTTGACAACATTAAAGAAGTTCTTTTACGATTACCGACATTGCAGAAGCCACTTCCTGTTGAGCCTCTATATTTGTACCTTGGTGTAAGTGGCGTTGCCGTTAGTGCTGTTCTCATACGACAAGATGGGCTTCAACAGTTTCCGGTATATTATGTTAGCAAGGCTTTACATGACGCTGAATTACGATATCCACATATGGAGAAGCTGGTCTATGCTCTGATCATCGCTGCGCGGAAGCTGCGCCCATATTTCTTGGAACATCCAATTGTTGTGTTTACGACATACCCTCTCCGACAAGTCCTTCACCGACCTGACACGTCGGGAAGAATTATTAAATGGGCAATAGAATTGGGGCAGTTTGATATCCAGTATCGGCCGCGAACCGCTATCAAAGCCCAAGTACTGTCTGATTTCATTGCTGAATTTACTCCCACTATCGACTCATCCATTGAAGATCCGACATGGACTCTCTACATTGACGGATCGTCCACTGCTATACGAGCTGGAGGAGGGATCGTCTTGGTTAGTCCTGATCAGCAAGTGTTTTGTTACTCTGTGGCATTTACCTTCCAGGCCACTAACAATGAAGCCGAGTACGAGGCTCTCTTATCAGGTTTACATTTTGCCGAATCCATGAATGTTTCCTCTCTCCGGATATTTTTTCCGACTCTCAGTTACTAGTCAGCCATATCAATGGTACTTATGAATTCAAAGAACCACGGTTGTTGCCTTATTTTGATCTCGTTAAAAAGAAGCTGGCACGGTTTAAAATGACGTT